ATTTGCACTCAAAGAGTTGAACAAGTTTGGTGCATGCATTTCTGCAAAGTGGAGGTCAGAACTTAACTTCTATTATCTAGAACAAAGGCTGGCATTGTGACATTTACTTTACTGGCATTTATATTCTGTTGACCTGAAAATGCTGAAAATTTCACTAAAATTGGGAGATAAGAGTAACAAAAAAAATGAAGATGCTAGAAATATTGATAAAGTAGGGTCTAAGGAGCTCTTACGCTCTGATGACTTCATTTTTTTTTTCATTTGAATTAGTAATTTGTGTTTGCAGTTATGTGCTTTTCAAGGTCTTTTTACACATTTAATTTTAACAGTGCTTTGGATAAATCTTATTGGTTAGGTAGGACACAAATGCAAAACTTAGGAATTAAAAAGGTTAAATGCTTATTACAACTTAGGTAACTTATAATGGAGAAGCCAGTATGAGAAGGATCTCAGTGTTCAGGTTCTGTATTAAATCTGCCCTGGAATTGCAAGGATGGGGTACACACAGCCACCTGTAGTGGGTAACAAGCTCTCATTCAGCACTTACCACCCCCCTAAGAGACAGGCGCTGCTCTCCATCCCGTATTATAAGGAACAAAATTGAAGACGCTGACACAAGTTGGAGGAGGATTCCTAATATTTTCTTTAAAAATTTTTTAAGTTCTGAGAAATATTTTTAAGATTTCTTTTTTGTATTTACGTCGATTGAAGCCCATATTTTTTAGAGAGCTGTGCCAATCACTCTGATTGCTCTTGGGATCACTTTAGCAAAGCCTGCCTTACGACAGATCAATGTAACAGTAGTTTAGAGAAGAAGATAACTAGTCAGTTAACACAGCATGAGAAGGAGATGGGAAAATATGCCGAGTGTGTGCTTTTTATTCTTCTCAGTTGCATTTAGGACTAGGCAGTCCAGTTAATTTTGATCCATTTGATGCCATTCTTTTTATTCTGGATGAACTTAGTCTTGTTCTCATTCTTGCTATTTTACCGTTATCACTATATTTAATAAGGAGTATGGCAGGAGGATCGGTGGCTTTCACGTCCAAGCCTTTTTCTCCAAGTGATGTCAAAATTAAAAGTGCTTGGCTCTTGCGGGACGCCATAATAACAAGGGGGCAAAAAGAAAACCAAGCCAAGCAAACAACAACAACTTTGAAAGCAGCAGAAATTAGTTTAATGGCATACAGCCACACTTATTAGTAAAGGGCCTAATGAGTTTGATGCATGAAATTTCGCCACAGAAAAGACAAGAAACAGCCTCTGCTAGCCAGAACAAAGGCTGACATTGTGAGATTTCAGTGGCAGAATATACAGGCTTCAAATATGAGTTCTGGTCAGTGCGGCATGAAGGAAGTGCTTCATTAGCTATCATACTGCATACCTCTCAGGCTTGTACCACGGGTCTGCACGCAGCAAGGGCACGGGTGCAAAGAATGAGCTATTCACTCAGGTTTCATAATCTTGCTTTGTTTCAGCCTCCTGGCTTGACAGCTTTCAAGTTAAGCATGGAAGGCTCTAAAGAAACAGTCTTACATTCTTCAGTGATAGAGTTTGTTTTTGGAAAATGCCTATCTAAAATAAGGAGATACAATAATTTGAGCCTGTGAGCTCAATTCACCATGTTAGATGTCTTTCCTGAGCACAGTGATATTTTTATGATTGCTTTGAACATTTCAATAAAATACTCCTACAGAAAGATTGGTCTCAAATGAAATTATTTGCCTTTTCTGTGTCATTCAACCCTATGCAATCATATGAATATTCATTTTACAGTGAAAGCTTACTTTGTAAGTAGGAAAATTACAGTAAAATGCTTTGCAAAGATACTGAGTAGAAGAAAAATAATTGTATGTAGTAATTTTCAGGAAAACCACTGTGAATTCTAGTATTTTTTCCCATCATCCAGGACTACAGATCTCTGTCCCTCAAGAAAAACACAAACTACACAAAGCTAAATAACTTCTGAATTCATACATCCTCTGTGCTTTGAAGAGACATACATTAATATTAGGTTCTGATTTATATTAATTTCCTAGCTGCCAACGTCAGTCTTAAATAGTATTCCCTAAAGGCTCAGGGACCTAACTGCATAAAATTGCTTTCACAAGGCCTCTACAAGCCTTGGTCTAAGACAACAGTACTTCTTAACTGACATAAAATTGCATAAAGATGCTGAGAACAGTTTTGAATTGAACCACAGTGAAGGGGAAATTAGTAAGGCAAGAAAATCTATATATGTGCTGTTATAGAATTTTCAAGACAAAATAGCAAAAGAGATCATATAATTCAAATTCATTATTTAATGTTGTGAAGAATATCACCATTGATGCCCTTAAGTATATTGGAGATATTTACTTCTAAAATAACTGAGTTATTTATGACCTACACTTGCTTAGAATTCTACCAGATACTCAGATGGAATAGTGGGAAGTCACTGCTTAATGCCCAAACACTTTAAAAATCCTGAAATACACCAATCAAAATAACTTAAAAGAACTGTTTAAAATTAAAGTTTTACATTTTACTTATTTTCCAATAAGAATAATAATTTCTTATTTAGAACACTAAATGTGAGCAATTACTCTAGTCTGACCAGTCAAGATGGTGAGAGTGTCAGAGAATTGGGGTTGCTTTCACAAGGCCTCTACAGGCCTTGGTCTAAGACAGCAGTACTTCTTAACTGACAGACAAGTAAAATCAAAATTACTTCCCAGAATGCAGCTCTAGGAACACTTACAAAGCATTTGGTCTTTTCTTAAGTTCCTGTATTAACAAGTCTGCTTTTCTCACCTAGCAAATCACAAGTTTTATATTAAAAGTGTATCCCAGAGGCAGACTGTCTAATTCACCTTTAATCTGTTTTTCATAAAAACCACATGCTATGGGTTGAATTGTATACCGGCACATTCTTATCAGGACCTCAGAATGTGACTCCTTTTGGAGACCGGGTCTTTACAGAGGTTAAAACACTTCCTTTATCAAGTGAAAATGAGATCATTGGTGGGGTGGGGGATGCTGATATTGGACACCAATATGGCTGGTGTCCTTATAAGAAGGTGAAGTTTGGACATGGAGACACAAATACAGGGAAAAGTTGTGGAAGACAACCATCTGCCAGCCTAGAGCAGGCCCTTCCCTCTTAGCCTCAGAAGGAACCAACTGACAATATGCCTTGATTTCAGACCTCCAGCTTCTAGACTGTGAGACAACTTCTGCTATTTAAACCACTTAGTTTGTGGTACTTTTTTATAGCAACCCCAGAAAATTAATATACCACACAAAGGAAAATGAATGTTCCACATCTCTGGTAATTTCCTGTAAAAAAGTGATAACTGAGATTATGTTCATGTTTTCTTAATTCTAAAAAATACGTTGGTTAAACTTGTGACATTTGGAATGCCCAGACTCAAACTGTGTTGCTAGTTTATATTGTAATGGTTGTGTGTAAATCAGTTTGTTTATAATTATTTACAAAAATCAGATAAATATCACATATTTGGAAATTATTTAAAAATAAAAGCATACTACATTTACAGGATTTAGCTCTGTTGAAACTTAAGTTTCTAAAACACAAATCTGGGTAAGTGAATGGGATGTTGGAAGAATGGCGATGGAAAATTTATTTAAAATTCTTAATTGGAATGTTTATTCTCTATTTATTTATGAATTTCTCATCCATTAGATTTGCAGAAATCCATGAATGTGAGTACATATTTTGTTGGCCAGGCTTTTGAGAACAGGTATGGCAGGAATGCAAAATGTATACCCCTGACAGACAGAAATTTGGAAATACGTTGAAAAAAAAATACATATGCCTTTATCTTTTGATCTTTTAATCTCACTCCTAGGTGTGAGATATATCTTCTTGGAGGTATACCTTCACAAATACAAAGAAAAATTTGATTTCTTATAAGAGCAAAATGCTCATCAATATGTGGGAATGATTGTGGAGCATTTCACAAAGAAAAACACTGCAGTCATAAAGAGAAGCCAGAACAATATCTATATGCTGATGTGAAGTTTTATCCAGTATGTATTTGAAACAGAACAAGATGTAGCAATGTTTGCATACATACATATCAGACTATGCTGAATATTTTTTGTGTCTGGAAGAGGATTCAAATGTATAGAGATTTATAATTTCCAAAAGAAACTTGGAAGGATAAGTAAAAAATCTGAAAATAATGATTTTCTATAGGGGACCTAATGGTACATACAGAGAAGAAAGCTAAAACTCGGCCTGTTCCTTTTTTTTCTTTTCTGTTTTTTAAATTGCTTGTACTTTGAAAGTATTGTGGAGCCAAAGAGGGTTGAGCACCATATAAGACAAATGCAGAGAATGGACCTGGATTCAAACACTACAATTTGCAAAAAAGGCTTTGAGACAATCAGGGAAATTTGAATGTAGAGTGGTTATTAGATGATAGAAAGCAATTATTATGTTTTAGATGTGATAATCCTAATAAGGGAGTTAGGTTTTTAAAAAGGCCTTATCTACTAGAGATATAAACTAAAGTATTTATGGATATAATGATATTATATATTGCATTCTTGAATACTGCAGTAGGGGGTGTAAAGTGAGGAGGGGGAATAGGAAGGAACCCTGCTCTCCAGGAGTCCTATAGGAGGGTTTCCGTATTTCTATTTTTATCCTAACATAGGGTCTGTGATAGGTGATTTCCCGGCTATGTGATTGGCCAACATGATTTTGCTCCTGCAAGCCTCGCACACGTACACTTGTTTGAGCCCTGAGGAAGGGGGGTTTGCAACCTTGTCTCAGTAAATATTAGCTTTTGTACTTAAAACAGCCCTAAAGAAGAAGCGGCTGGGGAGCTAACGAAGAGGATGCGGCGCAAACGCCGCACCCATTGCGCAGGCGGAGTCGGCACTGGGAAGGGCGGGGGCAGGGAAGGGGTGCCGCCGCAGCGACCCACTGCGCATGACCGCTCTGCGTTGTCAAGGCAGCAGGAAGGCGTCACCCGGAAGAGAAGGCAGGCTAAGCGATCCGCCGCCAGACCTGTCGCCTCGCAGCTGAGGCTTGACTAGCTAGCTCCTGAGCAACTCTTGACCTGGACAAAACAGCTGAGGCGCCGTGTCTGATGCAATGTGATGGCCACCCGCCTAGAAGCCTGGGGATTCAGAAGAGCAAGAGAGGAAGTGGCCCAAACAGACACGAGGGCTATGGCCGACCTTACTAACGAGGCCTCTAAGTCCTTTACTGATGAGGTACAGAGTTTGGGTTCGTTCAGCAACTCTGGAGGACCGCAGCCCCCGCCGCATGCCTCTGGGAGCAAACCTGAGAGTGGAAGACTAACTACATGCTTGGAATATCAAGACAAACAATCTGAGCTTTCAGACTTCAGAAATAATGAAACAGAGTTGAGCAGAAAATGGATCAACCACCTCAAGGGCAAAGAGACTAACTCTGGACAGCAGCAATTAGACACTGCAGTTCACACAGAAATCACTCGTGTATCCGATGAAGAACTGAATGCCCTGCGCTCTTTTTGCACCGCTAAGATAAACCTGCTCCGTCACAGAGCAAACTCCAAGGAGAAAAAAAGCAACAGACATCAAACGCTGCAACTTAGATGGAATGCAGATGCTTCAAAGACAGACGCCTTAAACTGTAATGTCCCTGATGAGCTTTTGAACAGAATCTATTTAAAAAACATGAGGACAACAAAAGTGGTGGCAACAGTGAAGCAGCACATTTCTTCTCAGTGTCCCAGTTGTAACAGAAAAAGAGCAGAACTGGCCCAGTCTGCTTTTCTGACACGAAAGAAGACTTTACTGGAAACATTTCTACTCCAAAAGAAAATCGATGAACATCTTCATACTAAAGACTTTCTTACCTTTATTGGAGAGGCACATCAGGGCCTTCCTAGGCTTTCAGATGACCCCCAAATTATCTGGGAAAGAATAAAAGAGAAAAGTCAGATCAGATACTCTGGTTTTGAAAAGTCAGATACAAAGCAGAAGATGTGATAGAATGGAAATAGCACTTGTATTCACCTTTTTCTCTACCATTTCTTGAACCACTTACTCTAACCAAACATGAGATGGTATTTATTAATGACAATGTATAATGTGGATAATGTTTCTATTGTGTATTTGAGTAATTATTATCATCTCTACAGGCACTTTTTGGAAACTAATTTAGGACTTTACTTCCCTCTCAGATTGGACTAAAAATTTCCATTTAATGCATTTTTCAAAATGTAAAGGGCCACGCTGTTGGAATAATTAATGTTTTTACAACAATCCAGGAGGAAAATGTTGGCAGTTTGAACTAGTTTTGACAGTACACATAGGAAAAAGTACAAACATGTAAGAGATATTTAGGAGGTAATGAGTGTCAGTCTCTGATGAAGAAATGGATATGGGGATTTAATGAAAGGTGAATGTTAAGAATGTTACTAAGCTACTGACTGTATACTTGGAGGTGTAATAATTTCATTAAGACAGGAACTTCAGAAGAGGATTGTGTTTGGTGGGAATGATGTAGGAGTATGATTATTTGGATGATTATATGTCATTATATGGTTACTTTGAGGTGTATCTGAGACTCGAGAAAATTTGTTTATTTGTGCTTGCTGTCTAGAGAAAATATCTAGCCTAGAGATTTGAAATAAAGGAGTGGGCTGGGGGAGATCATTGGCATATAGTTGGAAATTGAAGTCATAGATGTGGTGAGCTCTTCTGAAAGAGAGTAGAGTGAGAACAGAAGAAGGGCTGTTACCCACCCCTGAGAAATTCAACAATTAATGGCAGGGTGTCAGAGAATAAGCCAGGAAAGGAGGTTGAGAAGAAATTATCGTAGAAGGGTAAAGGAAGCCAGGCGTATGCAGTGACACTGAGACCAGCGAAAGGCTGGGTTGTCTCAGTCTGTGTAACGGAATTCACATGACATAGCTTAGTCATGTGTCAGGCTCTGCTGATCTTAGCAAAAACCACTTCATTTACAGGAACTGGACAGAGTGGATGGAGGTGTAAATGTGAAGTAAGGAGGTGAAGAGTATGAATGTAGACTACCCCCTAAAATTTAGCTGTGGAGACAGAGAGAGGGGAAGCTGGAGATAGATGCAGAATTTGAGGGAAGCCTGCTTGAACAAATGATCTAAAAAGCCATTTTTTGACATAAAGACTTCATGAAATGTCTCTTGTTCATCCCAATTTCCATTCTGATGAAACAAGATTGTCCCCTGAATATCAGGGCATTCTGAAAATAAATTTATTGGGGAAAATGTTAGATGGTATTCTGAGAAATCATATTTATTACTTATTTTCTCTATAAAAATATAAATCCTGGAACTAGTGACAATACCTGGAGGTCACTTATATACATGTCTAACACCTCAGCTATTAGAGTAAAAAAAATGTATTTGTAAAAATCCTCCCATAATAGTTTTGTATCATACTCCCATAATGGTCTTTGAATTTAGACTTTCATTTATGTATAAAGATAGTCTTGTGTCCTGTAAAATGTAGCATATCTTCTCATAGCAAGTCATCCCTAAATAAAATGGAAAACCATTACCACTTTCATAGTAACTTTTTATTTGAAATCCACATTATGTCATGCTTTACCTTTGGCATCTTAATACATTTCACATAATCAAAATTCTGAGTAATTTCCCACTTAGAATTCCCCAAATAAAGGTAAAAATCTACCCCTTTATTCAACTAAGCCAGAAATCTTAGAGTTATCTTTTGTTCCTTCTTTTTACTAATGCAGCCATCAAGCTATTTTTCAGAAAGACTGTTAAACAGTTCTTCTTCAGTATCTTCTGACCATGACTTCTCATTGTCATTACCAAAGCCCACATCATCTCAGCCCTCCCACTCCTAGCCTCTCTCCTCTTCAATCCATTCTCCACAGTTGTCAGAATTATTTTTCCAGACACAGATCTGTTCAAGTTATTCCCTTGATTAAGAAAAAAGAAAACAAATAATGGCTTATCACTGCTATTCAAATAGTTCAAATTAGTGCCACATAGAGGTTCTTTAACATCGGGTCCACATTTACCTTTTGTCATCTTTTATCTTTTATCTCCCCCATCCCCTCTATATTTAAGACTCTCTGTAGGACTTGCAATTCCCTGAGCTCTCTTTCTTTTGTGCCACTATGGTTTACAAGTACACATTTGTTAGTCTCAGATTTTCTTAACTGCCATTTCCAGCTGGTATACTTTAAAAATTTTATATTCTATAATCATAGTATACAGGTACTGTATTTATGCTATGTTTATGTAGTTCAAAAATCAAAAGGATGCTAAGTGAAATAAATCAGAGAAAGACAAATGCCATGTGCTTTCACTTACATGTGGAATCTGTAAAACAGAATAAATGAGCAAACAAACAAAAACCCAGAAACAAGACTCATAAATACAGAGGACAAACTGATGGTGGACAGAGGAGAGGGGTGTGGGGGGTAGGTGAGATAAGTGAAGGGGATCAAGAGGTATAAACTTACAGTTAAAAAATAAATAAGCCCTGGGGATGAAAGGTACAGAATGGGGGAATATAGTCAATCATATTGTAATAACTTTGTAGGGTGACAGATGGTAACTACACTTACCGTGGTGAGCATTCTGTAACGTATATAAATGTCAAATCACTTTGTTGTACACCTGAAGCTTATGTCAACTATACTTCAATAAAGAAAGAAAATTCAAAAGGTTTTGAAAAGGTTTGGTAGGAAGTCTACCTTCTACCCTGTTACCATCCCACTTCATTCTACGCTGGCCAGCCAGCCCCCTGCCCTGCTAGGGGTAACTCTCTGCTTGCTGGATCGTGGGTCACTCAGGTAACTCAGAATGACAGCAGAGGAAGAGGGGATCCGGGGAACTGGGAAGTGGGCACTTAACAACCAGGACAGTATTTCTATATTTAAACCAGTATACCACCTGATTAATGTATATGAGCTGAATATCCATGTTACCTGTAAGTAGTTACTTATGCCAGTTTCTTACATATACCTCTAGCATTTCCTTATGCAAATACAAACACCATATAAAATCTACTATATACTACTCTCTTCTATACTTTTTTTGCTATTTTTCTTATGATCTCATATACACACACATATATATATATATATATATGAAGCTTTGCTGAATTAACTTATTTGCTCTAGCAGTTTTTACAAATTTCATACATATACGAAAAATAAAATTTGCTATTTTAACCATGGGTAATTGTATCGTTTAGTGGCATTACTTACATTTACAATGTAGCACAACTGTCACCACTTTCCAAATTTTTCATCACCTCAACAGAAATTCTGTACCTATTAAGCAATAACTCCCCATTTTCCCCTCCCCCCAGTCCCTGGTAACCTCTAACGTGCTTTCCATCTCTATGAATTTACTTATTCTAGATAGTTCATACAAGCAGGATCATCATATTTGTCTGGCTGTTTTTACCGCATACTGTTTTCAAGTTTCACCCATGGTGTAGCACATACCCTAATTTCATTCCTCTTTATGGCTGAGTAAGATAAGATACCATTATATGCATATACATTAGGTGTATGTTTATTCATTTATTGGCTGATTGACACTGGGGTAGTTTTTGCTTTGTTTATTTTGAATAATGCTGCTAGAAACATTGGTATACAAGTATCTATATGAATACCTGCTTTCAATTCTTTGGGGTCTACACCTAAAAAGTCAGTTGCTGGAGCACATGGCAACTTTACATCATTTAAATTTTCGAGGAACAGACTAATTGTTTCCACAGCTGCTTCAGCACTTTACATTTCCACCAGCAATGTGCAAGGGTTCCAGTTTCTCCACACCCTTGTCAACACTTATTTTCCTTTTTTAAGGAATATAACCACTCTAGTAGGTGTGAAGTGGTATCACATATTGCTTTGGACTTGAATTTGACTAAGGATGTTGACCATCTTTTCATGTGCTTATTGGCCATTTGTGTATCTTCTTTGGAAAAAGTCTATTTAAAGTCTTTGATCATTTTAAAAACTGGGTTGTATGACTATTTCGTTGAGTTGCAGGACTTATTTACAAATTATGGATATGAAACCCTTATCAGATATATGAGCTGAAAATATTTTCTCCCATTCTGTGGGGTGTGTTTTCAGTTTCTTGATAGTGTTCTTCGGCATTCAAAAGGTTCTAATTTTAATTAAGTCAACTTTGGTTATATTTTCTTTTGTTATCTGTGCTTTTTGTGTCAGATTTAAGAATCCAATGTGAAAACTAAGTTCATGCAGATTTGTCCTTATGGTTTCTAAGAGTTCTACAGTCTTAGGTCTTATGTCAAGGTCTGCAATCCATTTTAAGATTTTGTGTATGGTGAAAGAAACATTTCATTCTTTTGCATGTGGATATTCAGTTCAACGAGCACCGCTGTTGAGGAACCCACCCTTTTCCCACTAAATGGTCTTGGTGCCCTTGTCAAAAATCAGTTCACCATAAATATGAGAGTTTATTTCTAGACACTAAGTTCTATTCTATTGATCTATATGTCAATCTTGATGATGCCAGTACTGCAGTGTTTCATTACTATGCTTTGTAGTTAGTTTTGAAATCAGTAAGTGTGCCATCTCCATTTCTGTTTTTTTTTTCAAGAGTGTTTTGGCAATTCAGGGCCTCTTGAGATTCCATATGAATTTTAGGATGGGTTTTTCCACTTAAGCAAAAAATGTCACTGAAATTTTGATAAGGGATTGCACTGAATCTGTATATTGCTTTGATAGTATTGTCATTTTAGCAATATTAGTCTTCTAGTCCATGCACAAAGGGTATCATTTCATTTATTTAGATCTTTAGTTTCTTTCAACAGTGTTTTGTAGTTTTCACTGCATAACTCACATGCCTCACTGTTGAATTTTATTCCTAAGTACTGTATTTTATCCCCTTGCTTACTATTATACACGGATTCATTTTTCCACTCCAATTTCTTTTTCGATGTTCATTGCTAGTGCATAGAAACACAACTGATTTTTGTATGTTTAGATTTTGTATTCTGAAGCTTTGCTGAATTAACTTATTTGCTCTAGCAGTTTTTACAAATGGATTCTTTGGGGGTTTCTAGCTATAAGATCATGGCATCTGAGAACAGAGATAATTTTACTGTTTTCTCTGTTGGATACCTTTTTCTTGCTGAATTGCCCTAACTCTAACTTCCATTATTTTAAAGAATAGAAGTGGCAAAAGCAGGCATCCTTGTCTTGTTCCTGGTCTGAGGGGTAAAAGCTTTCAGTCTTTTACCATTGAATGTGGTGTTATTTGTGGGTTTTTCACACACAGCTTTTCTCATGTTGAGGAAGTTCCTTTCTATTCTTAACTTACTGCATGTTTTTTTAATCATAAAAGAATGTTGGATTTTGTCAGTTTTTTCTGCATTAGTTGAGATGATCACATGGTTTGGTGTACTCTTTAACCCAGCCTAACCCTCACCTTCACTGCACTCATCCCAAAACCCTTAAACAATGACTAATCAGAATTAAAGGTTGTAGCCTGCTGTCATTAATATACTTCATATTATAATATTTGTGTCCTCATTAATATGCTATTCTCTCTTACTTGATTGTGAGCAGCTCAAGGATAGAAACTCTATTTTATATCTACAAGGGCGTCTGCCAATGGTTTTCAGCCCCAGGAAACTTGACTATAGATTCCATGAGACCAGGGAATGACTCTGGAACATTCTTGGGATAAAAGGGTTTATTACCTGGCTTTATTCTCCTGGCAATAGGTTGAGCAGTAGAATCACGTCTGCATCCTGCAGGTCTGTAGTCCTCCTTCATCCCTGCCTCTGTCCAGAGCACTTGTCAGAGCTCTTTACATAGTGACTCAGTGAGTAACAGCTTATTGCCTATGGGTGTGGCAGCCTAGCAGTGGGCCAATTACATCATCAAGTTGTTTAGGGTCAGGTGAGGACCCTGGCCACAGGAGCTCCCATTTTCCCTACGGTGAGCACAGTGCCTTGCCCATGAAAATGAGAGTCTCATGGATGAAAATTAAGTGTATCCAAACAATGAGATTGAATGTCTTTTGCACTAAAAGAAGAAAATAATCTCCTGGCATACTCCTTTCTGTCAGTGTTTTGCCTTTGTGCATAGAAACACAACTGATTTTTGTGTTTAGATTTTTCTCTTTCTCTTTCCATGGATTGGACTCCCTTTTAACACACACACACACACACACTTTCTCAAGTGGCAAGTTAGCAGAATGTCTTTTTATAAGACATCTTTCCAGAAAGTATGCAATGAATTGATACAGTATTCATTTTAAAGAATATGAAATATTTATCTGGAACCCACACATATCAGACAGAAAAATTCATCCAGACTGTTAGTTTTAAAGATAATTCATAACTTTCTGCAATTTTGAAATGGAAAAAATTCTTGATGATAAAACTTGAACATAATTTTTTATTGCCTGCTTTTGAATAAATTCAAAAGGAATGAGTATCTTTCCTCCAAACTCTTTAGAGCTATACTCAAGAGATTCCAGTATAGCTGGTAAGGAAAGTCTATCAGATTGGATGTTAAGAAACC